GAAAAATTCGCTATGAAAATAATTCCATCGATCTCCACGTCCGCGTGGATTTCCAAAAAAATTCCCTAGAAATCCCGGGAGAAGAGGAACAGAATTGTTCCGGTCTTCGCTTTCCACGAATTTCCTTTCGAATTTGAAAAGAATTTGGAAAGAAAGAAAAGGCGAGACTCACCCGTGCTTGAGGTAGATTTGCTGAGATCGAACCCCTCCTGTTTCGGGCTCGCGTTCGCCTCTTGCTTCGGGTGTTGGTTGTGCGCGGCGGAGAACGGTGTCTGGGGTGTGCTGAGCGGCGTCTGCGATTGATGAGGATGCACAGGCGGAAGTTGCCCAGCATTCTGCGGCTGAGACTGTTGGGACTGGTGAGACTGAGGGCTCCTCGGTAACGAGGACACACTGCTCGGCCTCGAAGGTGGCGAGGCCTTGTGTGTCAATGCCAAAGCTTGGCTCTGCAATCCGAACGAAGAGAAAAAGAACATCAACTTCCTCGTTCCTTCCATTTTCTTCGAGGAGAGGAGAGAGAGAGAGAAACAAATTACCGAGAGAATTATCATATCACACGCCTCGAATTGTTAACACGTGTTTTAATTTCCACTAAATTAAATTTTAATTTCCTTAAGCGCCATTACCATAAAAACCAACTCTCTCTCTCTCTCTCTCTCTCTCTCTTAACGAAAATATCGCTACACACGCGCACGGTGTGTAGCCGACCACCGACTCCTCCAGCAAATTGTTCCACGCGAGCGCGAGCTAAACTCGAAACGATCGTTGTCAATTATTCCGAACGCGGGTACGGAAAGTGAACTGGAGGAAAGGAGAAGGAGGGCGGGGGAGGGGGAGAGGGGGGTGGGGACGGATCGAATCGTGTACGGTTTAATAATAGAACGTTGAGGAGGAGGGGGGGAGAGAGAGAGAGAGAGAGAGAATCTGTAATAATTTCGTCGTTTAATTTCGCGTGGTGGTGAGGATGAATCGGTGTCGAAGAGATCCGATGGAGGGGGGGGGGAGAGGAGGAGGAGGAGGAGGAGGATTGGAGAAGTTGGCCGGCGGGTATCGAGGCGAGCCGCGGATGATCTAAGCGTCGCCGATGAAATCTGAACACGTGGTCAATTCAACCGACTAAGGCATAAGCATAAGGACTTAGATTTATGTATGAGTGAAGTGAACTTAACACTAACGGCTAAGCCGTTCACGGTGTCAACGAGGGTCAAGTGGGCCCAGAATGCGACAATCCTAACGTACCACGCTCTACGTAGCGGCGAAGTGCGAAATGCACCGCGGCTCGCTCACGGTTTTCGTTCGTTACGCCTCGTCGAAAAACTGGATCCAATCCAACTGTGCCATATATGTGGTTATAAAAGATGGATACAAGGCCGAGTTACGTTTCATAGCAACCCTTCGAATCGTGTCTCATCGCCCCTCTTCAAATCTCTTCAAATATTCGTGGAATATTCGTGTCGAAAATTCCAATTGTCCTTGTCCAATCTTTACAGGATATCTGGATATACATGGATGAGAATTGTATCATTGAATTACGTAATCATAATGTTTGTTTAACTTTTTAAGAATGTGATGTATTTGAAAATTTTGGAAATTTTTGGATTGGAGAATTCAATTGATACTTTCATTATATTTCACTGTTAGAATTATGTAATCACAATGTTTATTCAACTTTTTAAGAATGTTAGAAATTTTGGACGAAGAAGGAAAAAAAGGAATTGAAAATTGAATTGGAACTGTTCGATTCTTGTTCTAATCGATTAATTGGAATTATGTAAGAATTTTCAATATTTTTAAGGAATACGTATAAAAATTTTGAAAATCTTTGAATGGAATCAAGAACAAAATATGAAAATTGATTTGTATTGTATTATCTTTTTGATTCTTATTCCGATTGGAATTGGAATTGGTGTAAGAATCGCAATGTTTTAAGGAATGTAACATTTTCGAAAAGAAATTTCGAAAATCTTTTGGATGGAGAATAAAACGTGAATGAAAATTATTGGTCGAATAAAAGAATAATAAAGTATATAATAAATAGACGAATCTCTTTTTGGGGAGATGAGATGACGAAATCTTGAAAAAATTCGACAATTTTATTTTCGAAAGATGCAAGACTTTGTTAAATTAAAAATCTAGAAATTTGAAAGAATCGTGAAATCGAGTTTTAATTTATTATAATTCGTCGTGCGCGTTATTTTATACTAAAAAAAAAAAAAAAAAAAAGTAATCTGAAATGTTGCATCAAGATTTTTGATTAGATAATTAAACACGAGCAAAAAAAAAAAAAAATAACGATATTATAATATCATCGAGATACGTATTCATTAGAACGCCAAAAAAAAAAAGAGAAAAAAATAAAACTCGATTACAATCTCTGAAACGAAGAACTTATTCGCAACAAGTATTCTATCACGTTCGAGATTTAGATAAATTGGATAAACTATTACGATACACTCGTTTCACAAAGATAGACTTTTGCTTTTTCCAAATTAACAGATTCAATTTCAGATTAGATTATCCCACCTTCCCGTTAAATTCTAAAGATAAAAAATAAGAAGAAGAAGAGAAAAAGAATTATACTTTAATCTTAATTGATCTCCAAATAAAACAATCTAAACAATAACAAATCTCGAAAAATTTCGCTTCGAACGAAATCGAATATCATATTTTCCACTCGTTCTTCTCGTATATCCCATCTCTCTCTCTCTCCCAATTACTGGAGAAAAATCAGAAAAAAAGAGAAACGCGATCCTCTTCGTCCATCTCAAAAAGAAAAGAAGAAACAATTATTCGAAACGTAT